TGATTATAGAGCTTATCAAATCTATCACATAGTTCACATTTACAGTAAAAGCATTTGGCAGTATATCTATTTTTTGCAACTTTTTTTGAGAAACACCAAAATCGAGTTCAACAGTAGTCAAAAAATGATATATTAGAAAGAACATAACCAGGCAGTGGTTGAGATTGCATAGTATTATTGCAAATGTGAAAGTTTTTTGATTAGTTATTTGTAAGAGTAAGTGAACCAAATTTGTATAACAAATTTTCTTTTTTTTTATATTATATTTTAATTTATTTTTATTAATATAAAAAATATAGATGTTGATTATATTTGTAGATTATATTTGTATTAGAAGATAAGAATTCTAATTTTTTTCATTATCTCTTTGTTCTATACTGAGTATTTTATTTTTTATGCCAATAATATTTTTTTTTTTTTTTAATATTTCTATGCAATCAGGGTTTTTGTTTCTTATTAGAAGGATATCTAAGTTCATAATAATTTTACACTTTCATACATTTTATGAATGTCTTTTTTTGATTAATTAATTCGCATTGTTAGATTAAAAAGATAGTCAAAGAAATGGTATAGTTGCAGCAACATACTATATGCTAGTATCACTTGTTACAAATATGAAGTGTGATTTTTTTATAGCACTGCAACTTATTACTGCAATAGAATGTAGTATCTTTAATATTTATAATTTATCTTGTAATAATTACAAGATAAATAAGCTGTAATTATTAATTTGCAGTAGGCAACTCTACTATGCACTTTCTGGTCTAGAAGTTTTAAAAAAAAGATGGCTAATTCTAGTATTTAAAACTTCTAGATTCTGATTTATATTAGTAATAATTTACTTCTAATATAGTTTATTTAAGAAATTAATTATTACAGTTGAAATTTTTCATTATCAGGTTTTTAATGATAATAGGATCAAATTAAGGTTTAACCTATTAAACAAGTTAGTATTACTATATTTGCACCTTATACTTTCTTTTTTATAATAGAATTATGCCACTTTTATACAATTTTAAATTTGTTATTGTTAACAGATAACTTGTATTAAGCAATTGAAAAGTATTAGCCTATCATTATGTACTTATTGATCATTAATATTAAGTAAAATATTTCAATAAAGAAATTCTAATAGTATTGCCCAGGTAACTTATTTATACAGTTTAAAGTACTTTTGAGAATGTAATGTTTTATTAATAAAAAATCACCAAAAAGACTATGTAAGTTTAATCTTGAACATAACATAGAAATCTTGTCTGTGTTTTACTTTAATAATAATTAACTTAATACTTATTATATATCTTGCGTATTGATTAAATATTATAAAGTTAAATTGTAGAATAAGCAGTTGTAATTGTAGTTGAGATACTTTAGTAGCAGATTAATAGAGTATATATGAGTTGTACTATATTGCGCTTATTAATTATATAAACTAAGAGCTATAGCACATCTTTAGTGGAGTTTGTGTCAACTAAAAATAAAATAGAATTAATGTTTTAAATATAAAATTAAATGTAAAGCTTCAATGAAGTTTATTTACAAATTTTAATTTTGATTGGTTAGTAATCATGTTTTGATTGATATAAATTAGCCAATTATATGAATATTATTCTATGAGGTGGCATGCCAAACTGCCTTGAGGCATGCCACTGGCATGCTACTGGCATGCCACTATGGCATGTCATCATTGGCATGCCTGTGCCACTATACCAGATACCCTAATGTAGTATTATGACTTTCTCATAATTATTGTTACCAATTTGAAAAGATAAATAGTGTCGATTCTTTGGAGGAAGTATACTAGATTTTCTACTTTTTGGTAAAAATTTTAAGGAAAAATCCAATAATAAAGACAATAAAAATAACTAACTTGTAAAAGAGTTGTAAAAGTTATACTATGTAGAGTATTATATTAAACCAAGTAACTATTTAGTCCTAAGCCCTTATAGTACTTGACAAAGCTTTAGAGCTTATCTACTACTTTTTTGCTTAATAGTACTTGAGTTTTACATTAGAGAACTTCACTTACAAGAGTTTAAGTCTTTTTTAGCTCTTTTTAGTTACAAACAACATGCAATGAGTAGTCTTTAATTTCAGTTATTCTAAAGTAAAGTTTTGCTATATATAATATAATAATCAAATAGTTTTCATAGATCAGGCTTTTAGAAAAAAGTTAGTGTGAAGGATTATCAGAAAGAGTTGAATAATACATCTTATTATTTTATTATTATTATTTATTAGTTATTTTATTATTGTATTATTATTAATAGTTGCTAGAACTTTTTAATTATTTAGTAATTACTTAGTCACTTAGTTGCTTAGTCATCTAGTTATTTAGTTACTTAGTTATTTAGTAATTAGTTACTTAGTAATTATTAGTTATTAGTTACTAAAATCTTCTAGTCACCTAGTAATCATTTAGTTACTTAGTCACTTAGTTGTTTAGTTACTTAATGCTTAGTTACTTAGTTATTTGATCACTTAGCTACTTAGTTTACAGATATATAAACTCTGCTAAATTCTTCAAGTATAATTAAATAAAAGATACCTTCTTTTCTCTTTAATATTGTAAACACATTTAGAATTCTTTAGAAACAGAAATCTAAAAATAGTCTTTTTTGTTATTACTTTAATAAATAGCTTTTGACTATAAACTGTATTGATAATCTTTTTCTAGAGTAATTCCTATAGATAAGGTTTATCCTTTCTCAGTAAATTAAAGTAAAGTTATTAGTATTGTATTATTTTTTCTGAACTGCTTCAGAGAAGAGTATAGTTTTTTAACAATATCTAACAGAAATTATACTTCTCTTTTAAATACTACATGTACCTGTAAGGAATTTTCTATACTATGTTATTATTATAGTGTAAAAATTAAAAAAAGCTTTTATCTATAACAATATTTTATTTTTTTTTGTAATTTATTATTCTAATCATTATTGTTATATTAATATTGATTTTTGTATTTAGATTTTTGTTACTTATTTTTATTAAATCTAAATAAAATATAAGATCTAATTTAAAAACATTAATTTAGATATTATTTAAAAAAAGATATAGTAACTTAGTAAAATGAATAAGTTATTAACCTCTCAAGTAGTAGATTAGATATTCAAATTTCATCAATAGTAAAAATTTGAATGATCACCTATATAATATTTGTATTATAGCAAATGTTTCTTATAATTAAATTAAGATATCTGTAATAACAGTTATATTAGCATGACTGACAGGTTATGAAACATCAGTATAACAAATTATATAAAAGAATGTAAATTAGTATTAGATAATATAAACTCTAGATAAGTTCTTGTAATCATGTAAATATATTAAAATTAAGAAACAAGAAGTCTATTTGAAAAAGATCTAAATAAAAAGGTAACACAAATTTTTAATTGTACTACTATAAAAACTAGACCTAGAAAATAGATACCAATATAAAATAATTAGGTAGACAAGAATCTTAGATAAAAGGTACTACCAACCAGGTTGCCAAAAATCTTAAACTAAAGAAAAAAAATATTAAATATTATAATTCTAATATATTAGAAACAGATTATAATTTTTTTAGATTATCTAAATTAGGAGTTTAATGCCAAAAATGGAGGTATATTATAAGTACTAGAAATATATTGTAAAGTAGTACCAAGATCTGAATGAACTTTATAAAAATGAATTCTATTAATAAGAACTAAATATAAATAATTAGTTAGCAAGAGAGCTTTCTAGAATTCTACAGTTAAGTGTTATATTTTGAAATATATAATGGCTTAATAGACATATAAACAGAAAGATCAAAATTAAGTTAGACAATACTTAGATATATAGAAACTTGTGTAGTTATTTGTTAAATATAATATAAGAATTAGAATGTTTAATTAGATAATCTTCTAGTATAATAACTAGTGTAGAACCTGTAAGCAGACTATTTAAATAGATAGTCAAAAGCTGTATATATGACTAGTTGCATACCCATTTTATACAAGTTATGTAACTATAATTAAAATCACAATAAAAGCAGTAATTGCTGATAACCAACAACCTTAATATAAGCAAAAAAAAGATATTATTTAATAAAAAAAGAAATAATAAATAAATATTAATTTTTTTATATGTTTTATAATTTGGTTGGTATATTTTAATAAATATGTTACTAAATATAATTAATTAAAAAAGTAATTTAAATTAGAAAATTGCTCTTTAAGTGATTTTTTTAATTTATCAAAATTATAAACCAACTTTTGCTTTTTTTTAACTTTTCAGTTATGAAAAATTTTGATTATAAATCTTATTATATTAACAAGTTCAAAATTATAATTTAATATGTTCATTTCTTTAATTTCTTTTTCCATAATGCTTATCTTAATTTTTTCTATTTCTTTATTAGTAAAATTTTTTTTTCTTCTAAGAAGATTTGTCACATATTTCATGTAACAAAAATTACAAAACACTATGTTTTTAGTTCAGTTTTCTTTTACCAAACCTTTAAGCTGAATTTCTTATCACTTTTCATCACCGAATTGACAAAATTTCTTCAAATCAGTCTTCTTATATTCAAAGCATTTTTTGACATCTGTCATCTTAAATAAAAAACTAACACTTTGAGATTCAACAAATATTGTTTTCTATACTATGAAAGCTCCAAGTTTTCTTAGTAACTTATTGGCACTTTGCTATTAGTGCAATCTAGTAATACAAGATGTTAAAAGCACTTTAAAATTATATAAAAAAATTTTTGATGAATTGTGTAATGTTAAACGAGGATCTACATAGAGGGCACTGTCTCTGCTAAACCCTATTTTACTTTTCCGAACTCCACAGAAGAACCGAACCAAAATATTTAGTCACGATGAAATGACTTACTGAATGCTACATATTACACATTGTTATAAATCAAGTTCTTTGGGTCTAATGAAATATTAGAAACTAAGTTCTCAATGTTTATTTTCAACACTAACCATAATGTTTACTACAATAATAACTTTTAATGCAATAATATCTCAATGTTTCAAAATTTTATGTGGAAAATATTCAATCCACCCTTTCAACATAACACAGCACTTCTTCATCTCTGAGACCCAAACTTGAGTTAACATATTTAGCCTTGCAAGAACAGACAAGCAAGTCAATGCAAATGGCATGAATTCGGTTTGACAAAGAAGGAAGCGAAAATTACTTTCAGAGATTTATGAATATACGAAGTTAGGAACCGTTTAATAACAATAACATTATGATGGAAATGTTGAAACTGAAATTACGTGTATGCATCTAGATAACATTTCAAAGCCTAAATAAAATGTAAATTATAAAATTATAAGCTTTGTCAACAACACAAAGAAATAATACAAAGAATAAGACGTATACCTTATCCATCAAAATCGTAGCACAGTTGGCTCTATTTAAAACATAAAGAGATATTTCTCGCGATGGGACATACTCCCATTTTCTTTGATGAATTTGATTCCTTGGAAATTTTATAATAAAATTGAAATTTGGATTTTTAATGATTAACTATTCAATGATTGCCAACAATCTTACTTGTCATTTCCATAGAATAAACCAATAAACTCAGACATTAGCTCTCCAATTCGCATTTCTTTGAATCTGAGGATTATCCTTCTGACCTGTAAAAAATGAACATATATAAAGTTTATCTTTAAAATTACCACTCGAAATATAAGATTTATTACCTCTTCAATTTTACGAAAATATTCAGCGCGCTTATGTTGATTCTTATTTTTGTAATACAATCTTTCTAAAATATTCATTTCAACCCAGATATCATTTTTTTGAAAATAAAGAACATATGAAGAAAGTTGATTGAAATAGGTAAAATGTAGTTGATGTGGAACAGATGATAAAAAAAGTTCCGTTTGCGGATAATAAATGGGAGATGGCTTCGTGAAGTAACGAGGTATGTAAACTGGATCCTGGTGTGTCGACTGAAGCTCTATCATTTAAAAATTTCAAATATATCATCGCAATTTGATCAGCACAATTATATAATCTATCTATTGGCTCAGAAAATTTTGAATAAAATTCGTTTGACATTATTAATAATTATGTAACATTAATACACCTTAAGTACTGATTATTTCATCAATATTTAGCAAAAAAAAATAATTTATTCTAAAGTATTTAGCGAAATTAAATTTAAATCGTTAAAAGCTATTTCCAATTAAAATGACGTGTCGTGATGAGTATTCAATCGTTTAGGTTCAGCTAATAAAAAAAAAAGAGTATTTTAATCAGATCATTAACAAATACTGAGATCAGACTAATTTATATACTTACTAGAATACCAAACAGGTATAGCAATTTCAGCACCGGTGGTTTTTATTACTACTTTTCTGCGTGTCCATCTACGAGGGCGGGTACTTTTAGATTTTTCTGTATCATTACCTGATAAAGTTGACGTATCTTGTAATAAAGTTTGTTGCGTTGATTGTTGAGATATAGGAGATGATGTCAAGGCTATTTTTATTCATTTGTTAATTTAACCTTTAAAAAATGTCGTAAAAATTGCTTGTAAACCGTAATACCTTCTTGTCCAGTAGTGATAAAACTTTCAGCCTGTTGCTCACTATAGACAAAACTTGGAAAATCGATTAAAGAGTAAATGTATAAAATAATAAGGTATATGAAACATACTCAGAAGTGGGTTCTGAATGTACAGATTCAACATCTTTTTCTTTCCCTTTATTTGAAGTCCCGATACCTTTTGGATTGAAAGAAATTATCTTCAATGATTCACCCGTACGAGATGATTTAGATGGTTTTTCATTTGGAGGTTCTTCTGTTTCTGATAATTTTCGTGGACGCCCCCGACGTTCGAGCTTACTAGAATGTGTAGGGCTATGTGCTGTAGTCTCCTCCGACTTGACCTCTGGTGCAGGAACTGGTGCAGTCGGATTCGAATTGCGTTTTCGTTTGATTACCATATTAATTAGAATAAAGGTAATTGTATTGAGTTGATCGTTGTTATCGTTATCGTTAATTGAGATATTGTGAAACACTCTAAGTGATAAACAAATTTCCTATCAGTCACACGATTTGTCACAAATGAAAGAGATGTTTAACAGCTGTCCTACCTTGTTTAGCGTGTTGGGGATGCGTCGAGTGTAACCCGGGTTTGAGGAGAGCATCTTCCTGCGTTGCGACGCAAACTCGACGCACCCCCGACGCATCACCAACGCACTAAACAGCTGTTAAAAATCGAAAAAAACCTCTGCTTTTGTGACTTTCCGTATTTCGCGGGCCAACCACCCCTTGTCAGATCATACGGTGCATATCAAATTAATAGTTTGTATGTATAGAAAAACAATTGTCGGTAATAGACAAGGTTATACATAATACAGGTTTTGCATATCAACTTTGTACAAACAGACAATCAAATTTGTACATACCATTTGATTTATCTAATTTTGATGAATCAAATAGTAGCAAATTTATATAATTTAAGTTACTAGGTCATAAGATATTGCAATTTAATTAAAAGTATTATGTATAAATTTGATTGTTAATTTATACAAATTTGATTGTTGAAAAGAAAATGAAATTAACTCTTTTTGTAGATCACTTATATTAAAAAATACAAAAAAATATTTAATTATTTCTTAACATTTTACTAAGTAAACCTTACTTGACCTCTTAAGTAAAGTTGTTCAACACATTTTTCTACTCCTAGATGGTTGTATTTTAAGTTCTAATAACATTTGGGTGTTGAGAAAGTTTCAAAAATTATATTGTTGATTTTTGTCTATTTACTCAATATTTTACTAATTAAATCTATTATACTGTCTATTCAAAAGTTATTCAGCTCACTGAACTGGACATTATGATATATATTTTGTTCAAAATAGACTAAAACTCATAGAAATATAAATGAAAAGCAAAAACAAAAATTTGTTCTTTATAGGTTTTTTCATTGCTAATTTTAGGAAAATTTGTTAGGATGTTTCAAAAATTTCATTTTTCTGATACTTATTAGAATTTTTTAAATATACAATTAGTTTATTTGAAACTTAAACTTTTTTTCAAACTTTCCTAATTAGTTTGAAAATCTTTAAATTAAACAAATTTTTTTGAAAAACATATTTAGAAATTTATTTTTAAGAAAAAATATTGATCTTATTTACAATTATATCAGATATTATTGATCTTGACTATTTTTATCAAGTGTTCTAAAAGTTTCAGAATTGGTGTATCTATGAGAATGCAGCATATATATTATGTTTCATCCTTGTAAACAAACAACCAAATAATTGTATTCATACTAAACTTAAAGAAAATATTAAAAGTAGTTATTATTTCAAAGTATCAGAATCAAGTTCTATTATTATCAGGAAGTTTCAAAAACATTTGAAAAGCATTAGTTTACATATAATGTTATTTAATACTAAAATAGTATAGGAAAATGAACTCTATACAGACTAATTATATTAAACAATTAATATTAAACAACTAATTTTAATTAGTTAACATGTTTAACAATAAAGTTTATTGTGAGATGTGGCAATCTAGTGAAGTAGATAGGTTGTTAACTCCCAAATGGCAGATCTAGAGTTCAAATCTCAATGACAGTAAAAATTTGCAATTCTTTCTATATTATAACTAACTGTCTTCCATAATTAGTTGGGATGAATATCTGTAACCTATGTCATATCAGCATAACTAGAAGGTCTAAGGCACTTGTACAACATTGTATAAGAAAACACAAACTGGTATTAGGTGGTGTGAACCCAAGATAAGTCCTTAGGCCATGTAAATCAAGGGAACCAGGTAAGAAGATGGAAGCCTACTTGGAAGACCTAAGTTGAGAGATAATTCAAACCTTCAACAGTGCTACTGTAAAGACTAAACTTATGAAACAGAGCTAGAACTTATGAAACCAGACAAATATACTGATCTTTGATGAGGGACCAGATGAACCAACCAGGCTGCTGGAATTTCTAAGTTCTGGAGGAAAAGGGCACATGTTGGCAAATATGTGAACCAGAGATATATAGTTTTGACTTATCTTTTCGGGTTATCTGGAATGGCAGCTTGGTAGAACTTGAATTGAATACCAAAATAGTAAGGATATGTTGTGAAGTCAGTACCGGAGTTGGGGTAAACTCTACAAGGGCATAGCAGTTTAATAGTATACCCTAACCGCCAGTATTGGTCTCGGTCATAGTAATATCAGGTCAGCTATAAGAATGGGATACAGAAGATTCTGGAAGGTTTAGTACAAGGTCAAAGATTCTCCATATAAGTAAACTGCTTTAAAGACTTAGTGACCATGGCATATTTGAACTGATATCGACTGAGACATCTTGGTAGTATTAATCTGTAGTTTTTTCTTTAACTATAGTGATATCAGAAGCTGCTCAACTATAGTATGATGACTATAATTTGACAGGTTCTATTCAAAAGTCTACACAAGACTTAACA